CAGGCAGTGGAATTCTCTGACCACCTTTTGCTAACTGTGTCTTTGAATGTTGCAGATACTCCACTGAAGGGGAGGGGTGTCTGGAGATTGAATTCGTCCCTGCTGGACGATGAGGAGGTGAGACGATCCTTCGAGGATTTTTTCCAGGCTCAGGAGACCATCCTGGATTTCTGTGATAAGTCAGAATGGTGGGAGCTTACCAAGGTGCGGATTGGCAGGTTTTTCAAGGCCCTAGGTAAGAGGAAACAATTTGATAAATATGTTACCTACCAACGGTTTGAGGAGGAAACTCGATCGCCTTGTCTCTGAGGGTGGAGATTCTGGGGCAATCTCAGAGGTTAAACTTCTCCTCAGAAAATATCAATATGATCGGCATGCCTCCTTGGTTCTGGAGAGGGACTATGGGAAATACCATTCACCTGACCCTTACCAGAATTGCAAGCAAGGTATAGCGGTTAAGATGATCACTGGTCTGAGAGACAGTACAGGTTCCCTGACAAAATCCAGGGCGGGAATCCTGGAGGTCTCGAGGGCTTTTTTTTAAGGATCTTTTGGAGGAGATGCACCTCGACCAGGCAAGGATGTTGAGTTTCTTGGAGTCTACGCCAGGTCTAGAAAATAATGTTCTGCCCGCGAATTTGACAGGTGAGATTACAGCTGCCGAGGTTGCCAAAGCCATAGATAGTCTGGCCATCAAGAAGACGCCTGGGCCGGATGGTTTGACAGCTGAATTTTTTAAGATCTTCAAGTCCAGCTTGGCACCCCATCTCGCGGAGGTCTTTAATAGCTGTCTTGATGAGGGCTCACTCCCTCCCTCCATGAGAGTTTCGGCTGTAATCTTGTTGTCAAAGGGTAAGGACCCTTCGGCGATTGAGAATTGGCGCCCCATCAGCCTTCTCAACGTCGATAGAAAGATTTTGGCCAAGATTCTTTTCTGGCGCTTGTCGTCAGTGGCAGACGAGTTGCTTTCACAACATCAGCACTGTTCGGTCCAGGGCAGAAGTACGTTCTCAGCGGTGTTAGCTGTCCGGGAGGTTCTGGAGCGTTGCAGGGCTGATGGCAGTGGGAAGTATTTGCTGGCGCTGGATCAGGCTAAGGCGTTTGATCGGGTGGACCACGAGTACCTCTGGCGTCTCCTTGACCGGTATGGCCTGGAAGGGAGGTTCATTGGATGGCTAAAGACATTGTACAAAGGGGCAGAGAGCTTCATGCTGGTTAACGGTTGGGTTGGGCAGCCTTTCAGGGTAGGCTCAGGGGTGCGCCAGGGGTGTCCGCTGAGCCCCTTGCTTTATGCTTTTGCCATCGACCCCTTCATCAGGAGGCTAGGTTTTGGCTGGGGTGCTGATGGGCGCAACTGGTGAGCCGCCTTTGAAGGTTGTAGCCTATGCTGATGATGTGTCTGTTTTTATCTCTGGGGCTGAGGAGGCGCAGGTGGTGATTTCGGAGATGGAGCAGTATGCGGAGGCATCAGGCTCCAAGATTAATCGTGACAAGTGTGAAGTTTTCTGGATGGGTAGGGATGGTGAGAACTTCTCACTTCCGGAAGCCTTCCCAGTGCCCCAGTTGAAGATCAAAGTGTTAGGCATCACTTTTGGCCCTGATGATTATGGTAAAGAAAACTGGGAATCCAGGTTGTCTGATGCCGAGGTCAAGGTGAGATGCTGGAAGGGGTGGCGGCTCTCCTTAAGGGAAAGGGTCGACCTAATTAAGACTTACTTGATTCCGGTCTTTTTGTACGTCAGTTATGTCTGTCTCTTGTCAGAGTCTCTCTACACAAGGGTCTACAGCTGTTTTTTCCAGCTATTATGGGGAAACAGGCTGAACCTCGTGAAGCGGAATGTGACCTATCGACCCAGGCGGGAGAGGGTGGCTTAGGAATGGTCAACCCGATCGTTTTCTTCTCTGTAATGTTCATTAAACATAATTTTGGTAACATGCTGAAAGAGAGGCCGCCTGCATGGGTAGGTTTATTTCTGATGTGGTTTAGACCTTTCTGAACTGTTGGGAGAGTGGCGGGCCAGTGAAAAGCTTGAGAGTCAAGCACGGTAAGCTCCCGGCTTATGTTGCCCCGAGCTTGAAAATTCTTAGGCGGTGGTGTGTGACAGCGGAGGAGGTCAGATCGCTTCCTGGGAGATCTCTCAGGGAGAGGGTCGTGGCCACCATTTTTCATGCGCCTCTGGCCTTGAAGGATTGCCCAGGCCATAGTTTGCGGGAGGGTTTAAGATTGATAAACATGGAAAGGATTCCCTTGAAATTTAGGGACCAGGCCTGGCTTGCGTTCCATGGCAGGGCTATATGTGAGGGGGAACTTGAAGTTCCGTTCTCTGGATGACCGCGGTTGTCCGAGGGCGGAGTGTGGGGGTGAAGTGGAATCTATGGACCATTTCTTGCTTCAGTGCCCCTTCAATATAGAGGTGTACAAAGAGGTGGGGAGGGCTCTAGACATCCCGTTCCTGCACCGCATGTCTTATGCGGAGTGGGTATATGGGGCTTTTGAAAGACGTGTGGGGTTTGATTTTGACACTCTTTTTTTAGTTGGTCTAGTGGTCCGATATTTCACCTGGAACGCACGGTGTCAGGTCTCCCTTCGGCAGAAAGTCCTTCCTGTTTCGGTGGTGTGGTGTATGACATTCTTGGTGAGGTTGGGAAAATTCGGGGTCTTGAGAAAGACAGGCTGCGGCGAAGGGCCTGGATAAAGGCGTGGAGGAATATCAGGTCTGTAGTCGCAGTCTGTTGATCTCTGGGTGTGGATTCTGTTCTTTCTTTCTTCCTGTGTGTTTTACTCCCCTAGATTTGTGAAGAAGAATTTTTAAGAGAGGCTTTGTGCATCCGAAGATCTATGTTTCTTAGCCTTGGATTTATGTATTGTTACTGTTATAGTGTTATAGGTAGCACCTGAAAGGCGCCAATATAGCTATTTAGTATAAAGCCATAAAGGCCTTTTTTTTTTTTTTTTTGTTTTGAAATGTGTTTGCATTTCCTTTTATGATATGTTTTCTTTCATGGTGAAGTAACCTTGTGTAATTGTATTTAAGGCCGGATGTGTGGCCATGTGTTTATTTATTTATTTGTACTTTTATAAGAAAATGTATGCTGGTTGCAAGATTTTTTACAATAAAAAATCTCCCACCATTACTGGCAAGTCCATTCCTGACAGTACCCCCCCCTCAAGGAGCGGCCTCAGGACGCTCCAAACAGTCCTAGCTGGGCGAAATGTTCCACCGCCCGGGTCTGGTAACTGGCGGGATATCAAAGACTGGCACATCGGGCAGGACTCCGGGCAGCGGCACACCGGGCAGCGGCACATTGGGCAGGACTCCGGGCAGCGGCACATTGGGCAGGACTCCGGGCAGCGGCACATTGGGCAGGACTCCGGGCAGCGGCACATTGGGCAGGACTCCGGGCAGCGGCACATTGGGCAGGACTCCGGGCAGCGGCACATTGGGCAGGACTCCGGGCAGCGGCACATTGGGCAGGACTCCGGGCAGCGGCACATTGGGCAGGACTCCGGGCAGCGGCACATTGGGCAGGACTCCGGGCAGCGGCACATTGGGCAGGACTCCGGGCAGCGGCACATTGGGCAGGACTCCGGCAGCGGCACATTGGGCAGGACTCCGGGCAGCGGCACATTGGGCAGGACTCCGGGCAGCGGCACATTGGGCAGGACTCCGGGCAGCGGCACATTGGGCAGGACTCCGGGCAGCGGCACATTGGGCAGGACTCCGGGCAGCGGCACATTGGGCAGGACTCCGGGCAGCGGCACATCGGGCAGGACTCCGGGCAGAGGCACATCCGGCTGGACTCCGGGCAGCGGCACATCGGGCAGGACTCCGGGCAGCGGCACACCGGGCAGAGGCACATCGAGCTGGACTCCGGGCAGAGGCACATCGGGCAGGACTCCGGGCAGAGGCACATCGGGCAGGACTCCGGGCAGAGGCACATCGGGCAGGACTCCGGGCAGAGGCACATCGGGCAGGACTCCGGGCAGAGGCACATCGGGCAGGACTCCGGGCAGAGGCACATCGGGCAGGACTCCGGGCAGAGGCACATCGGGCAGGACTCCGGGCAGAGGCACATCGGGCAGGACTCCGGGCAGAGGCACATCGGGCAGGACTCCGGGCAGAGGCACATCGGGCAGGACTCCGGGCAGAGGCACATCGGGCAGGACTCCGGGCAGAGGCACATCGGGCAGGACTCTCGGGCAGAGGCACATCGGGCAGGACTCTGGGCAGAGGCACATCGGGCAGGACTCCGGGCAGTGGCACATCGGGCAGGACTCCGGGCAGAGGCACATCGAGCTGGACTCCGGGCAGAGGCACATCGAGCTGGACTCCGGGCAGAGGCACATCGAGCTGGACTCCGGGCAGAGGCACATCGAGCTGGACTCCGGATCACCCGGTGGAGCAGCGGGCACCGGGCCCCCAGGCGGGGCGACGGGCACCGGGCCCCCAGGCGGGGCGACGGGCACCGGGCCCCCAGGCGGGGCGACGGGCACGGGCACCGGGCCCCCAGGCGGGGCGACGGGCATCGGGCCCCCAGGCGGAGCGGCGGGCGCCGGGCCCCCAGGCGGGGCGACGGGCATCGGGCCCCCAGGCGGAGCGGCGGGCGCCGGGCCCCCAGGCGGGGCGACAGGCATTGGCCCCCAGGCGGGGGCGACGGGCACCGGGCCCCCAGGGCGGGGCGGCGGGCATCGGGCCCCCAGGCGGAGAGCGGCGGGCATCGGGCCCCCAGGCGGGGCGGCGGGCATCGGGCCCCCAGGCGGGGTGACAGGCACCGGGTCATCAGGCACCACAACGGGCATCGGGTCACCAGGCATCAGGTCATTTGCTCGCCAGTGGGCACCGCATCATCTGGCAAGGCAGTGGGCACCGAGTCACCAGGCACGACAGTGGGCTCCGAGTCAACTGGCATGACCGCGGGCACTGGGTCAGACATTGGATCGTCTGGCCCGACAGCGGGCATCAGGTCACCAGGCATGACAGCGGGCACTGGGTCATCAGGCATGGGATTGTCTGGCTCGACAGCGGGCATCGGGTCACCAGGTATGACAGCGGGCACTGGGTCACCAGGCATCAGGTCATTTGGCTCGCCAGCGGGCACCGCGTCATCTGGCAAGGCAGTGGGCACCGAGTCACCAGGCACGACAGTAGGTTCCGAGTCAACTGGCATGACCGTGGGCACTGGGTCAGACATTGGATCGTCTGGCCCGACAGCGGGCATCGGGTCACCAGGCATGACAGCGGGCACTGGGTCATCAGGCATGGGATTGTCTGGCTCGACAGTGGGCATCGGTTCACCAGGTATGACAGCGGGCACTGGGTCACCAGGCATCAGGTCATTTGGCTCGCCAGCGGGCACCGCGTCATCTGGCAAGGCAGTGGGCACCGAGTCACCAGGCACGACAGTGGGCTCCGAGTCAACTGGCATGACCGCGGGCACTGGGTCATCAGGCATTGAATCGGCTGGCAAGACTGCGGGCACCGAGTCGGCTGGCAAGACTGCGGGCACCGAGTCGGCTGGCAAGACTGCGGGCACCGAGTCGGCTGGCAAGACTGCGGGCACCGAGTCGGCTGGCAGGACCGCGGGCACCGAGTCGTCTGGCAGGGACCGCGGGCATTGAGTCAACTGGCGGAACAGCGGGCATTGAGTCGTCTGGCAAGACTGCGGGCACCGAGTCGACTGGCGGTACTGCGGGCACCGAGTCGACTGGCGGTACTGCGGGCACCGAGTCGACTGGCGGAACTGCGGGCACCGAGTCGACTGGCGGAACAGCGGGCACCGAGTCGTCTGGCAAGACTGCGGGCACCGAGTCGTCTGGCAAGACTGCGGGCACCGAGTCGTCTGGCAAGACTGCGGGCACCGAGTCGTCTGGCAAGACTGCGGGCACCGAGTCGTCTGGCATAATAAGATCATCAGGCTGGATCAGTTCATCAGGCTGGGTGGAGGCATCAGGCTGGGTGGAGGCATCAGGCTGGGTGGAGGCATCAGGCTGAATTGTGGGCGCCGAGGCACCAGGCTGCACCATGGAAGGCAGGTTCTCAGATGGGAGGCTGACCGGTTTGGATACTGGCAGGATGGTACTGGTTGGAAAGAACTTTCGCCTTTTCCTGGTTTTAGTTACCGGAGCACTGTAAGTAAGCGCAGGTTTGTAAACGGATGGAGCAGCTGGAGACAGAGAAGAGCTGGAAGATGGAACAGGGGAGGGAACAGTTGCTACAGAGGACTTCTTTACAGGGTTAAAGGCAGGATAGGTGCAGAGAGTGGGAACAGGGTACTGACATGCGGTAGATAGCAGGGTATACTGGGCTGTAACTGGAGGTGCTGTTGGTAATGCAGGAATAGAGCTTTGAAGAAATAGATTTGAAGCAGGACTGGGTTTTTGCAAGCTGACTGAGGCTGGGTGCAACAAGTCTGACCATGTCTGCAGTATGGGTTGAACAAAGCTCAGCTTACACAAAGCCTGTCTGACCAAAGACTGCACTGCATTTATACAATCCCTTAATACCTGTTGTGAACATGCAGCATAATGTTCCAAGAAGCAATCCACATCATCCTCTAATAACCATACCAGGGACTCTACCTGGTCTGCACTAAATGGTGGCAAAAAGTCATTCCTGCTTTCAGGGGTACCAGATGAAGCCAACTCTACACAAACCTGGATCAAAGGTTGCACCTCAGAGAACTCTGTGCCCTGATCTACTAGAACATGAGCGACCCGTATACATGCTAGCAGTTGATCCCTGGGATACTCCTTCAGAGTTTGATAAGCATACTCTCTGTCATCAAACACTAGCAGAGATAAATACACAACCTCATCAAGATCCATCCTTCCCAGCAACAAGCCAAGATGGCTTCCCTGTGCAGCCACTTCTGGTCAGGATTGGCCTTGGTGTAATGTCAGGGCTCCGGGGTGTGACCAGAGGTATGTGACTGACGCAGGGAAACGCAGGCTTCAGATATGTTATAAACAATAAGACAATTTATTAAAGACTAACAATACAAACATAAACGCAGTGCAATACTAAAACATAACACAGTGCAAACGAACCAAACCAAACCACCCACAGATAACAATATATACAATGCAAGCGTCGTCAGGCAGGCCGGGTCAATAACAATCGGGCAGGTAGGAACAGGGGGTCAGGCAAAGAATGGTCGGGGTCACAAGCCAGGGATGAAACAGGAGAAGTCAGCAGAGGTCCGGAATCAGGCAGGGTCAGCAACGAATCAGACAGAGACAGGAACAGGAATGCAGGAACAAGATACAGGGCCCAGGAAAAACACACACCAAGGCAGAGACTGCAGGTCTGGCCATCCCTTAAATACACCTGCATGATCAGTTTCAGATGTTTGGCTGGCTTCAGGGTTGAGTCTCTGATTGCCGGGAGCACCCGCTGGCCAGCCATGGTACTGCAGCCCACAAGGCAGGTGAGTCCCACCATTACTGGCAAGTCCATTCCTGACATCTGCCATCTCATCCATTACCAAGCTGAGTACTGTAATACATACATTGTACATGCGCATGGCCCAATTGCAGCCTTCAGAGCTTTAATTAAGCCACACGAGAGACATATGAATAACACTCATATATGACACATTTAAAGTTCAACCAACAATACAAAATTTCCATGACAGTGGCCAAAGAAACTCCAACTAATTAGCTGAGAAAAGTTTGCATATTCATAGCCCAGCTTTACTGCAATCCATCCTACTAGTACCAAAGGTAACAGTGCCACCTATTGACAGAAGGGAGGAACCACAGCTACACCAGGCTTAGGGGAAAACCCAAATGGTCAAAAAGACTATAAATCAACCAGGTTGCCTACAATCCAGCACAACTAAATTTACTGGTAGCCCCTGTTTAAGACAAGGGTGCTACACATACATGCAGCTGCGGGGCAGGGAATGCCTTGACTGCTTACCATTTACTCTGTACAGTGACAGCTTCCTAGTGGGATAGCTCAGATGGGTTCATACTAGGATCTGAATAGGCCTTAGCACATCCTTGCCATCCAGTCTATCACCACACATACTATCCCACAGAGACGTTTCCCTGGTCAAACGCAGACACTCTCTCAGTGCCTGCGTACACACACTTCTTTCTTGCTTCACAGTTGTCTCCTGGAAAGAGAGGAACCCAGGGGCGGACTGACAACTCATGGGGCCCCCGGGCAATAGGAGATCATGGGGCCCCTGTTTCCTTGCCCACACTCAAAGCACACCCAAAAAGATTATAAAAGGTACCAAAGGAATTTCATGGGGCCCCTACTTACCCCGGGCCCTCGGGCAGTGCCTGAGTGCTCGAATGGTCAGTCCGCCCCTGGAGGAACCCTAAGCTTTATTGAGCTCCCAAACAAAAAGGCCTGCTCACAGCTGCACAATCAAAGGGGAATGGCTACCATCTAAGAACTGGACCTAGGAACAAAGGCTTTATCTCACACAAAGCTCTACAATGCCTAGGAGATCCAGGACCACACGCAGTTCAAATTCTTGTGTGATTCCTGTCTGTTCCCCTGCAGTGCAATTTCAACACCCATTTATTTGAATGGGCTACAAATAAAACGGAAACACTCAAATCATAGGTCATGCACTACTTTTGAAAAAATGTGCTGTGCCAAGTTGCATGATACTATGGTATCTGGTGTTCACAAAAGCACTGTGTTTGCGATCCGCGATTGGGGTGCTATTAGCATTGTATTGGCACCTGCAGCAGATCTTAAGGGAAGTATGTTCTGAACACATTGCCAAAAACACACACAGAACACCCCTTTCCAGAACTGCATTCTGGTGTGATCTGTTCCTTATGGAAGACTTTAATGACTGGTCAAGGACACAGTTTGCTGGGACCCACCTAAAGGAAAGAGTCCAAGAAGCCCTTACAATATGTGTGATGTGTAACTGCAGAGAGAACGGATATATGTTAGTTTAGAGAAGATTCCCCTTTCCTCCCTACATCTACCTCTATCTCCCTGCCTTTTTCCCTATTTGTACTTACTATTTCCCTATTTGTAACTACAATTTATGTATATTCCTTTGTAATTAGAATCTATGCATATCCATTTCTAAATAAACCCAACTCTTATTTTAGGACCTATTTGTCCTTCATTAGAGTCAAAGTACCTCAATCGGAGCACATTTTACACATGCAAATAATTACTTTTGCCTCTTTTACAATTAAAGCGGTGTTAAAGTGAATCTATTGGCAAAATCATATATTTATTTCCACGTTGTATTTCAGATTATTTCTAGCCTACTCCTATTAATCTGAACAATGTTGAAGTTTGTAAACTTTGTGAAGATCCCCACACACTTTCTTAAATTCTGTGACAAGTGTTCACTATGCCCTGTGTGTAGGCAATGCTGTGTTACACATTTTACAGAGACTGTCTTCTGAACTACAGGAGGAGTTTCAGGAGGTGGAGTCAGTACAGGAACCACAGGCAGCAAGGTACCGTGGGATATATAATCCTTAGAAATGGAAAGCAAGCAGCAGAGAAGTGGTAAAGCATACAGGGATTCCAAGAAGTTGGGGAAAGAGATGGCCAGTAGACAGGCAGAAGTCAAAACATGAAAGGACATTTTTCGAGTACGTTTATAGTGGATTGTCAAAAAAAAACTATTTACTTCACTATTATGTTGATTTTTTAAAATGAAAGTGTATGCTGTGACCATAGATCTCTGTTAAACCCACAAAACAAAATGTAATATATTACAGCTTGCAAATTCTTACAGTTGGGCTCAAAAGTTTGCACACCCTTGGCGAATTGGTAATATACAGTAAGTACCATTTTTAAAGAAAACATGAGTGAGCAGGCAGAACACATTTCTTTAATTTCTTCTGTGATTCATATTCAACTGTAGGTCATAACAGAATGGCACAATCAGAAAAAAACATGGCAACAAGAAATTAAGTGACCCCTGTTCAAAAGTCTGCATATTGTTATTAATACTGTGTTTTGCCCCCTTTAGCATCAATGACAGCATGCAGCCTTTTGCAATAGTTGTCTATGAGGACCCAAATTCTTGCAGGTGATATAGCTGCCCATTCATCTTGCCAAAATGCCTCATGCAAAGTCTTTGGTCTTCTTGCATGAACCACACATTTGAGATCTCCTTACAGTGGCTTGATGATATTAAGGTCAGGAGACTGTGATGGCTACTCCAGAACCTTCACCTTTTTCTGCTGTAACCTCTGCAGGGTCAACTTGGCCTTGTGCTTAAAAGTCCAAGAGCATCACAATGCAGCTTTCATGCAGAAGAATGCAAATTGTCTGCCAGTTATTTCTGATAACATGCTGCATTCATAATGCCATCAATTTTCACAAGATTCCCCATGCCTTTAGAGCTCACACCCTCAAAACACCAGTGAGCCACCACAATGCTTTACAGTGGGGATGGTATTCTTGTTGATATTGGCCTTGTTGATCCCCCGTCAAACATAGTGCTTATGGTTGTGACCAGGGCTTTTTTTCTCTCAGAGAATAGGTGCAGGTATTCCCCTTTTCTAAGTCACCCCTTGTCTCCACACCCTACCCACCTCCGAGCACCGTTCCTTTGCTCCACCCCCTACCTACCTCCCGGTACTGCCCCTTTTAGAGAAAACAGAACCAAGTATCATTTTGTGGTGCTAAGTAGTTTGTATGGAAATTGTTAATGATAATAAAAAAAGAAAAAAAATAGATCCCCTGCAATCAGCAACAAAAGTCCTTCCAAGAAACAATAGATCCCCCACAACAAAATACCACCAGAAGCAACAGATCTCCCCAGCTACAATATACCCCATGCAACAATATGCCCACTAGCAACAACAGATCCAGCACAGGAACAATAGACCAGCAACAATAGATCTCCCAGTAGCCAGCATTTATAGACCATCCAACAGCCAGAAACAATAGATCCTCCCTCAACAGTAGATCCCCCCAGCAACATTAGACCACCCAGCAACAATGGACCCCTCCCTCAACAAGGTATCCCCCAGGAACAATAGATACCCCAGCAGCCAGAACCTTTTAGCACAACTCAGCACCCCTTCCCATTACATACATACCGGAGGTACCAGGACTGCATTTCCCCGCATTACCACTTTGAAAAAAGCCCTGGTTGTGACCATAAAGCTCTATTTTG